AGTGTCATGCAGTGAATAAATTTCATGCATGGTTCAAAGTCAGGAAAAGAGTGTGTCAGGGATGCATCCTGCCTCCATACCTTTTCAATCTACACATGAAACAGATTATTCAGGAGGCTGGACTTTATGAGGAGGAATGTAGCATCTGGACTGGAGGAAGACTCATTAACAACCTGGGTTATGCAGATGATACAACTTTGCTTGCCAAAACTCAGGAGGACCTAAATTGTTTGCTGCAGAAAGTCAAGGACTATAGTCTTCAATGTGAATTGTAGCTCTACATCAAGAAAACAATTCTCCCCACTTGGCCAGTTGTTGGCATCATGGTAGATGGAGAAGTAATTGAGATTGTTAACAATATCAGCTTGCTCAGTTCCACAAGCAACTCTTGACATCAACAGTCAGGAATTAAAAAGATGAATTGCATCAGGAAAATGTGCTGTCAGGGACACCTCTAGAGTGCTGAAAAACAATGGTGTCAGTCTAGAGACTAAGGTATGCCTTCCAGGTCATGGTCTTCACAGTTACTTGCTATGTATCACAGAGCTGGACAATGACAGAAGATAATAGAAGAATTGATGCCTTTGAGCTGTGGTGCTGGAGAGAGTATTGAATATACCATGGACTTGAAGGGAGAACAAACAGGTTTGTCCTGGAGAGCCAGGCTGCTCCTTGAAGGTAAAAATTTTGAAACTCTGTCTCACATACTTTGGGTATGTTGCTAGGAGTGACCAGTCCTTGGAGAAAGACACCATTCTTGGAAGGGTGGAGGGATACACAGGAAAGGAAGACCTTGGATGAGATGAATCGACACAGTAATTGGAGTAATGGTAGTAGGTTTGTCAGAGATAGTGAATTTGGCTCAAGACAGAGCAGGGTTAGGGTAGATGGGGTTGTGGTAAGTTGCAGTTGATCCCATGGCACATAACAACAAAAGCAGTATCATACGCTAACTGACCTTTTGTGTTTGACTAATTTCACTCAGCAATGCTCTTCAGATTGGTCCTAATAAGGATACATAATGATTTGTGGACTTCAGTCAGAAGAGATTCTAAAAATTGCAGTGGAGTGTTGAGAAGCCAAAACAAGAAGAAAACATACTGAAGTAAAAGCTGAACAGAAGATTTCAAAGGGCAGCTTGGGAGAAGAACAAAGCAAAGTATTATAATGGAATGTGATGTGTAGAGATTTGGAATTGAAGAATAAGAAGGGAAGAACTTGCTCTGCATTTCTCAAGCTGAGAAAACCGAAAAACAAATTCAAGCCTAATGTCTCAATATTGAAAGATGCTATGGGCAATATATTGAATGACCCAGAAAGCATCAAAAGAAGATGGAGGGAATACACAGAGTCACTTTTCCAGAAAGAACTGATTGACACTGAGAAATTTCAGGAAGTACCATATGAACAGGAGCCAATGGTAACGAAGGAGGAAGTGTAAGCTGTATTGAAGGCACTGACAACAATAAGGCTCCAGGAATCGATGGGGCCTTATTTTTTGCCAGTTGACTCATTTCAGTTAACAGACACAGTCTTGTCTATGCCAGGAAATTTGGAGGACAGCGTCTGGCTAACAAACTGAAAGAGGTCTGTAATTGTCCCTATTCCCAAGAAAAGTGGTCAAACTGTGGAAACTATTCTATTGAACAATATCGTTCATATCACATGCAAGTTAAATACTGCTGAAGATCATTAAAAAATGGCTAGAACAGTACAAAGATAGGGAACTGCCAGTAGTTGAAGCAGGATTTAGAAGAGGCTGTGGCACCAGGGACATCATTGCTGGTATCAGATGGATCCTGGCTGAGAGTAAGGAATACCAGAAGAATGTCTATGCTATACTTACTATGCAAAGGTATTTGTCTATCATAACAATTGACAGTCTCAACATATCCACTCATTGCAAGTTAAAAAACTTAACATATGCACAGATATATCTACCCTATTTTTGATAAAAAGAGGCATTTTAAAATTGCAAGGGAAAATCTGCAGAGTATTTTGGGCAAATTTTAAATTAATGTTCTCTAAGGCAAGCTTTAGAATGAAGTTCTAGTTTTTTTTCTACAAGACACCTATTAAGTCTATCTTTAAAAGATGAAAAAGAAAAGCAGAAAAATAATGCATTCTGTGAAGTGTTAAATAGGGGAGTCGTCTTCACTGGAAGGAAAGTTTTCAGAGTGTATTAGGCCTCTTTTATCATTCCAGGTTTGGGATGTACTGACTGTCTGGTACTGACGTTCTTTCCAGAAGTAGTAAATTGCTTTGTTGAAATATTCCACTGGGATCACAGACTCCCATCTCAGCGTCAGCTCAGCGTCAGCTTCATTTTTCAGAGATTTATTTCACTTTTCTGTGTATCATCTCAAACATCATAATTTTTAGTTAACTCATATAAAGTTTTAGGATCATTAGATTGACAAAGCTGCTGATGTTGCTGGTCATCACGGCCACAAATCCCTTTGTGGGATCACTTACATACTGGGATGCTCTATCAAAGATCCTGAGCCATATACTGTGAGCAGCTCTCGTGGAAGGCCTGCAGAGTGATAACCCTCCCATCATTTACATGCATATATACTTGGTCCAAAGATGTTGAATATTCTTTCACTTGGATGCCAGTTCTTTCCTGCTTCATATATGCAAAGAAAGTAGTCTATGCAATACATTTGCCTTGTAATTGTAACAGGATCAGGGTACTACTGGATTCACATGGGTCCAGTAATCCTTAATTTCAGTGTAGACTTCATGATTGCTGTACCCTCAAAAGTGGAGGCAAGGAGAAGACTCATTTTGCCAGCCCCAAAGTATTTCATTGTCCCAAGTGTTTTCATCTTTTATGACTTGATAGGCTTATACATGTAATTTGGAGGGAAAACACCAGATGATACATGTGGATAACAAAATCATCTTACGGTACTTTCCAATTAAGTACCTCTAGGGGATAATTCTACAGGAAGCTTTTTTCCAAGCTTCTGCTTTTCTCTTTTAATGACTTACCAGTCTCTTTAATTTCTCAGGTTTTTGTTTCTTGTTTTCCTGGATAGACCAGTTGAGTAGAAAACCCATTATTAATGAAGTTGCCCTAAACAGAGGCCATGTTAGGGACCAGGGCGATCTCTGGCAGCAGCTTTATCCTGCGATAGGTGGCAGACAGCAGCTCGCCTTCCCCAGGATCAGTGTCTAGAACCTGCCACACACGCCAGAGCCGCTGCTACGTGAAGCTTTTGACTGCACCTTGCCTTTTTGTTTTTTAGTTGTTGAAATTTTCTATATATATTTGAGACTAGTTTAAGGACTATAGTCTTCAGTATAGATTGAAGCTCAACATCAAGGAGACTCAGATTCTCACCACATGGCCAATTGTTAGCACCATGATAGAGAAGAGATTGAGGCTGTTAACAATTTCAGCTTGCTTGGCTCCACAATCAGCACTCTTGACACCAACAGTCAGGAAATTGAAAAACTAATTGTATTGGCAAAATCTGCTGTCCAGAACTGCTCCCAAGTGCTAAAGAGTAATGATGTCAGTCTGGAAACTAAGGTGCACCTGATCCAGGCCATGGTCTTTGCAATTGCTTGCTATGCATCAAAGAGCTGGACAACAAATAAAAATGACAGAAGAATCAACGCCTTTGAGTTGTGGTGCTGGAGAAGAATATTGAATATACCGTGGACTGCCAAGAGAACAACAGGTTGTTCTTGGAGAGTGTGAAACTAAGTTTCTCTTTGAAGGCTAGGATTTTGAAGCTGCATCTGACATACTTTGGGCACATGGCCAGAAGGGACCAGTCTTTGGAGAAGGACATCATTCTTAGAAGGGTAGAGGGATGGAATGGCACAGGAGAGGAAGACCCCAAGTGATATGGATTGACACAGTAATGGGTTATGGGGATAGGTGTGTCAGAGGTACATAGGGTCACTATGAGTCACAGGTGACTCCATGGCACATAACAACCATAACATGTCTGTTCTGGATATTTCATAGATTGATGTTATGTGCCATCCATTTCAGTACAACCCATCAGCACAATTTCTGGCACACTCGCGCCCATTGCAGCAAGTCATTGTGGCAGTTCGTTGGGTTGAGCCTTCTCTTTCACCAGCTCTCCACCTTCCTAAGCATCATGTCCCTCTCCAGGGAACAGTCTCTCCTAGAAACATGACCACACTGTGTAAGATGAAGTTTTATCACCCTTGCCTCCGTGGAACATGCTGGCTACACTTTCTTCAAGACACATTTGTTCTTTTGGCAGTCCACAAAATATTGAACACACTTCTTCAACACTACATTTCAAAGACATCAATTCTTCTGTCATCCCTGTTCAAGGTCCAGTTCTATCAGATGCCTAGCAAGTGACTGAAAAGACCATGACCAGAATCTGGTGCACCTTAGTCCTCAAGCTGACATCATTTCTCCTCAATAATTTGGAGAGGTCCTCAACTGCAGACCTTCCTAGTGCAATATGTCTCTTGAGTGCTGGTACCAACGGTGGTACTCTGGATGAGGAGAAACCTCATAGTGTGTAAGACCTCGATTGTTTCCAAAGTAGGATATAGAACATTTTCTTTGTGGACTATTTATACCAGTTGATTTTAGTGTTCTCTCAAACTAAAGTCCTCAGCCCAAAGGCCTAGTGATTCATTCCCTCAATGTATTTGGTTATGGACTAAGAAGGAAAACCCATTTTCATAATTATCTCAATGAGGATATGTATGTTTGTATGGTAATCTCATTAAGTATTTTAATTTTATGTTCTTTCTTTATTTGGAAAGAAGATGCTAACATTACAAAGAAGTAGAAATTGTTCATTGCTGTCTAGTCAGAACTGACTCATAGCTGAGGGTCCAGTAGGTTTTAAGACACTAAATTGCATTGGAGTAGATGGCCCATCTTTTTCCTACAAAGAAGTGAATAGATAAGTTTTAATTTCAAAATAATTCTTTTAAAAATAACTATACTTTTATATGTTTATATTTTCAAAATTCCAGGTTTGTACAAAATGCTGTGTTCTTTGCTCCTTTGTGAATTTCTGTTGCTGATAGCAGGCTATGCTCATGATGATGACTGGATTGACCCCACAGACATGCTCAACTATGATGCTGCTTCAGGAACAATGAGAAAATCTCCCCAGGTACTAAATATGGTGTGTGTGTGAAGCATTATCAACTCAGTGGTAGAAATACTCTTCTCTCTTAAGAGAATTGTAAGAGATGTTTATCAGTGATTAGCAGCCATGCACAGTATCCTTCTGGCTTTCTTGGTCTAGATTATCTTAAACCCACTAGACTATTTCCGTTTTGAATTTGGGTATATAATCCACCCACCAGCAAATGAATATGATTTTAGTTCTTAGCTATTACAGAAATCTGATGTGTTTTATGATTTGATTTACTTGAAGAATACAGTGAATGAACTCATACATTTTAATTTTCTTTATGTGACAGTTATTTTTACAAATGAACTTTTTCCCAGAGGAAAGCAAAGAAACATTTTAAAAAATGAAAACAGTGTATACAAATTTTGTAAGTAAATCAGTATTAAAAAAAGGTAAAATTTATACGGTTTGTTTCATAGCATTATTTACTTCTGATTAATGAAATTATTATATATAATCAGACAAATTTTATATTGCCTTTTCCTACATCCAACTTATCTATTAACTTTTTTCTTTCTCCTTCACTTCTCATTCCAGTTAAGCTTCAAGATTGATTTTCTGTAAAAACATTTTACTAGCTTTTTCTGTTACTGATCTTACATCCTAATTGTTCTTTTGTGACTGGTTTATGTCATTCAGCGTAATTTGTCATTTGTTCATGTTGTGCAGGATATCGTGAAATCTAGATCATTTTTCAGTGATATATAATACCCCATTTTGTGAAGTGCAGTCGTTTCTTTAGCCATTCATTCACTGAGTTTTTTCTAGCTCTTTGTTATTGTCAGTAATGTTACAGTAAATGTGTATGTGTATATATCTATCATTTTGTGTTTTGCAGTTCATACTTCTTTGGGATATATGCCTAGTAGTGGGATTGTTGATCAAATGGTATTCCTAGTCCCGGATTTTAAAGGAAGCAACAGGTTGCTTTCCATGATGTTTGGAACATCCTTATAAGCAATGTATGAAAATTCCACTCTCTCCACCTTGCTAGCATTTGTTTGGTGGCTTATTGAACATTGTGGGTTTTTTTTTTGCCAGGGATGTGATAATAATCTCATTGTTGTTTAGATTTGAAACTCTCTAAAAGCTGATAGGGAGCTTTGGTGATCTAGTGAGTAAGGAGTTGCTGCACTGCTATTCCAAAGCCACGTGGTTCAAATCCTTTAGATGCTCTGCCAGAGAAAGGTAGAGAAATCTTCCCGTGTGATTTACTACCTCTGAAAACCCACCAGACAGTTAGCTGTGGGTAGGTTCTGATAACACACACTACCACCGCCAACAATGTCTTGAGCATTTCTTCATATGTGTATTGGACATCTGAGTATCTTCTTTGTCTAGAGGTCTGTTCATGCCTTCTTCCCATTTTGTAATTGAGTTGTTAATTGTTTTCCTGTTGAAATGTTGTCATTTTCTATAAATTTTAGAGATGAATCCTTTTTCTCAGATAATTGCCAAACATTTCCCCCCTAAGCTGTTGTTAGGTACTGTCAAATGAGTACGACTCATAGTGACCCTATGACCAGCAGATCTGAACCTCGTCCTATCCTGTGCCATCCTCACAGTGTCTGGCTCACTCCAGCCCATGGCTGCAGTCACTATGTCAACCCACCTGGTTGAAGTTCTTCCTTTCCTTCACCATCCTTCCACCCTTCTAAGCATGATGTCCTTCTCCAAGGACTAGCCTGTTCTAGCAACATGCCAAAAGTATGAGAGACAAAGCTTCTGACCAGGGCAGTCGGAAAGTATGGATTTGGTGACATAAACGATCCAATTGTGTACATTTAGTGATTTATTCCTCACAAACACCTTTTTAAAGAAACACCAGCTTTACACATCAACTTTACACTTGAACCTCACCTCACCAGATGGACTGCACAGGAATCAGATTGACTGCATCTGTGGAAAGAATCCTTGGAGAAGTTCATTATCAGCATTCAAAACCAGGCCAGGTATTGACTGTGGAACATACCATTGATTTTACTCATGGGCAAGTTCAAATTGAGGTGGAAAAAAATGAAAACAAGTCCAGTCTGTATGTTCTGTTTTTATTCTCTTGGAGAAGTCTTTTGATGCACATAAGGAGTTAATTTCTGGTAAGTCACAGTAATCAAGTTTTGTAGCCTATTGTTGTTAGGTGCCATCGAGTCAAATAAGACTTATAGAAACTACTGCCTAAATATGGTGGACAGAAAATCAGTTTTGGAAGGCAAAAACAAAGGCTTATTGGTTTCCCATTCAGGTAATTTTGGGGGGATCACTGCTGTTTGGCCCTTGGCCCTGTGGGCCTTGGGTCAAGAAGGGAGCACAAATATACAGGTCCTTTACAAAACTTTGCCATATTCTTTTGTCCACTATATAGTTAAAACAACCTAACATCTGCTAAGAATATATTCACATAATGTCAAGAAAGCAGACATCTGCCTCAGTTATCATGAAAAACAAAATAACCTATCTCTTAAGAAAGCAGAGCCAATAAATACCCCACATAGAGAGAACCAGAAGAAATATGTTGATGTGGAGATATTTGACCAGCTACAGAAAAAGATGCAAATGATGGGAGAAGCAAATAAGATAGCAAATACCTCAGAGACAACAGTCCGAAAGAAATGATGAGGAACAACTTGAACAGGTATGGAAGAAAATACAAATGATGGAAGAAAGAATTGGTAGAATAGATAAAGAGGTATAAGAACTTAAAAAATCATCACAAGACAGAGGGTATAGCCAACACAATACTAGAAATAACAGAAAAGATGAAAATGCAATCCAGAATATTAAGGCTGAAATGGCAGAAGTGTCCAACATGCTGGTGGCACAAAAAAAAACCAACAAAACAAAACCCCCCACACACACACACACACACACACACACACGCACACACACACAAAACAAACAACGTAGAACTGAAGAGCTGGAACAGAGAGTCAGTGAATTGGGAGATGAGAGCCTCACTGATAACATACTAGAGGAAAAAATCAGGGATAAGATGTGGAGAAAAGGAAGAAAACATTAGAATCATCTGGGATCAAATGGAATAACATACATATGATTGGAATTCCATGACAGGGAAATCACTGAGAAAATTGTGGAAGAAGTACTAGAAGAAAACGTCCACATTGAAGAAGCACAGTGAATGCCAACTAGACTAGACCCCAAAAGAAAAATATAAGTTATAGTCAAATTCTCCAAATTAAAAGATAAAGGTAGAATTCTAAAAGCAGCACAAGAAAAGCAAAGAGTCATCTAAAAGGGGGGAACAATTAGATTAAGTTCTGATTTCTCAGCAGAAACCATGTGAGACAATGGGAATGGTATATACAGAAAGTTGAAAGAAGACAACTGCCAGCCAAGGATCCTGTTGCCAATAAACCTCTCCAACCAAAACTACAAGAAATTTTAAGGGAAGTCCTGCACATGGAGATGCCAAAGGAAAGTGCATAGACCATAGTAACCAGAAACAACAGAAAAAGAAACATGGTAAAATGGCAAAAGTAAAACCTGGCCTGACAATAAACACACTTAATGAGAGAAAACGAGTAGTAGAATGGATAAAAAACCCCAAAGCCCATAAATATATTGCTTACAAGAGACATACCAAAAAAAAAAAGAAGCAAAAGACAGACTCAAAATCAAAGGCTGGAAAAAAAAAAATATCAAGCAAATGGCATCTTCAAAAAAGCAGGAGTGGCAATACTAATCTCTGATAAAATAGATTTCAGAATGAAAACCACCATCAAAGATAAGGAAGGGCATTACATACTGTTTAAAGACACTAGATGAAGAAGACATAACCTTGGTCAACATTTATGCACCAAATGATAGACCTGCAAAATACACAAACAGTTAACAGAATTGAAGAGAGAAATAGCACCACAATAGTGGTAGGAGATTTCAACACACCACTATTACCAAAGGATAGGTCAACCCCAAAGAAACTCAACAAAGATGCCGAAGACCTAAATTACACGATCAGCCAGCTCGGCCTTGTGGATGTATTCAGGGAACTGCACTCCACTAAAACTCAGTTAATTTTCTTCTCAAGACCACATGGTGCATTCTCCAGAATAGTTCATATATTAGGACACAAAGCAAGCCTCAACAATTAAAAAACATTGAGATAATAGAGAGTATCTTCTCAGATCACAATGTTGTAAAACTAGAAATTAACCACAGGAAGGTAAAGCTTAAAAAATCATCCATGTGGAAGCTAAATAACGCTGCTAGAACATGGTTGGCTTATAAAAGGAATAAAGAATGAAATTAAAAAGTTCCTTGAAACAAATTAAAATGAAAATACAACATACCAAAATCTCTGGGATATAGCTAAGGCAGTCTTGTGGGGGCAGTTCATAGCAATAAGCACACACATAAAGAAAAAAATCAATGGTCTAACTCAGATCTAACCTTCTTCAAATAGAAGAACAACAACAATCCAATCCTACAGCCTGTAGAAAAAAAGAAATTATCAGGACAAGAGCTAAAATCAGTGAACTAGAAAAGAGAAAAAATTGAAACCATCAGTAAGACCAGGAGCTGTTTTTTTCTTTTCCCAAAAGGGTCAATTAAAGTTGACAAATCATTGGCAAACTTAACAAAAGAAATAGAAGAAACAGATAACTTGGTTAAGAAATGATTGAGGTGACATCACAACAGAACCAGATGAAATTAAATCTATAATATCGCAGTAATCAGAGGTCAACTTATAGCAATAAGCAAACACATCAAAAGACAGGAAAAACAGACTATTGACTCTCTAACCCAATATCTCCAGCAAATTGAAA